AGATGTTGATAAATATTTGTATGAAGTTTCATATTAATACTTGCTACGTATTACAAGTTACTACTATGGCGTGGAAGTAATGGGAGCTCCCATTAATTTGCCATTTCATTCTATGTATGTCAACAGCACACCATAAGTGATAAGTTTAAGCATTCCCAATTTTTCCAATCATGAGTGATTCCACAACAGAAACAGGTAAGCAGATACGGTCAAGTTCAAGAAAGTGTAATGCCGACCAATAGTAAATTTAGTGTACGGAGGTTACGATGCACATTTCTCCGTGTTGCCAATGGAAAGTCAAATTTGATATAGCGTCATTGTAAGGTGGTGGAAATAATAAATACATATAACAAGAATTCGAATATTAAATCGAGATACTATATTTATTGAATATCAAACTTTTTGTTGTTAAAGCAAATGTAGCTCTAATTGAATGCAAAACAATTTCTCCCCATTTCTTCCTAAAAAATACTCGATTTCGTTTGCGAGATCCCTTGTATCCCCCATGCGTTAGTTGATAATGCCAAATATTTTATTTGATACGGATCATTATACATTTCTTTTATTCTCTTTTTATTTTATTATAAATGTGTCACAACGTATTTATTATTCAATCTTCCGTAAAAGTTATTTTGCGTATCGATTTCTTTAAATTGGAATTGGAATTGGAAATATGATTCAGGAAAGGGAGGAAAAAGAAAGAAACAGATGCGTATGTTGCGTATGCAACAACAACAACACAACTATTTTTTTTAATTTTGGCATAAATTTCTTTTTCCCTTAGTTTTTCGAAATATTATTAGACAAAGAAAGGCACTTGACGAAATAATATGCCTGTTTCAAAGTATAATAGCATATATAAATGTGGAGCTTTTCCTGACGTAATTAAAACACTCTTTTATCTACATGAGTTCATTGAAAAATATTTTAGCAGAAAAGTATGTAAATGTACTTGTTACATTCTGTAGATGTTTATTGAAGAACTTTTCCATTATTATGTACTCGAAAATAAAAAAAAATTCTGCAAAAGTCAAGGCCGACTTCTTAGACATTATATATTTATATATTTATTTATTTATTTATTTATTCTACTTATCCATGAAACTCAACTAAAAAAAAATTACAGTCGAGTTCAATTCTTATATTAATTAATATTAAAACTTAATGTAAGTATAATGACACAAATAAGAAGGAAAAAAATGGAGAAAAAAAAAGCATGTACGCAATTAGCATAGAGCCACACCCACAACCGGTACAGGACCAAATTGCAAATGAACACCTAAGCCATCGCAAACATGCATAAGCTTGGCAACCGATAATAATTAACAACAATTAATTTTCGCCCCATCGTGACATTTTAAGGTTAAGAGCTAGTTTAAGTACGACATAGGTAAACCACGTGTATTAGGCAATGTTGTTTTAATGGACTTTGAAAAGTCCAATAAAGAGAATAAGTGATAGACGTCATTTATATTCTTGCAAACAATTTTAAGCGGGTTAAACAGCTCATAATTATATTCACATTGACTTAAGCTTAACCAAGAGACTATTCTTAATTATAAGAGACTATACTTAATTTTAAGTATTGTCTCTGCAAGTTCCATATTCTTCTGTTCTAACTTCCGACGCAACTATTGTTCATTTACTTTCTATTGTATTAACCTTTTGCATTCAAGGATTGCGGAGTGGAGCTCTCAAACTCGAGGGCTCCACTATGAAGGTAATGCAAATAATTTTCAGCTCGTAACATGTAGACAAAAATAAATCGTAATAAATTCATTTATCTTTTTAATGAATTACAAGTAATACCTATTCAAGAACATTTACTTTATATACATTTCACTTAAAACAGGAAAGCGGATGCAAAATTCTAACAAAAAAACTGATATGAGGGCGACGTATTGTTTTTTAAGGAAATCACTGAATTGGCGGAAAAATATATTTGATTGGGGAATCGAAATGTGAATAGTAAACTCATACATATTGTACATTTCTTCAAGTTGGTCAAAGATAATATTTCAGCAAGACGTAGGAATATGTAAAATCTTGACGTAGTAATCGTTTCCATAAGAGCCTTTTTCTAAAAAATAACTTTATTTATTTATTTAATTATACATGTAATTCAGCTGCAGTAAGATAACAGCCAAACAAAACAGACTTCCAAAAAGAAACATTAGAATTAAGTTTATAAAATGAAGGAAATTGAAGAAACAACAAAAATCGAATTCATTATAAATAAACAACAACAAAAACAAGTAAAAACATTATAGTCAGGTTAAGCCGACTCTTTAATATTCTACATTGTCTACCGCAGTTCTTATTTTTGGCATTGAACACAAAAATTAAACCTTGGTGACGTATAAAGTCTTAGTGTTCATAGGAAACTTATATCGGAATGTATTGTCGAAACAAGCCTGTATAGTCCACCAACAGAAGCGTTAATTTTTATATGAACTTACTATTAAGGGCTCTTGCATTAAAAGTTAAAACTCTTTCCAAATAAATCCTCGTGAAATATTAAACTTTCTGCCTTAAAAAACAAAAATTTTCGTGAAAATCCTTATGTAGAATGGGATTCAAAAATGGACCTAGGTGGTCTAAATTTCGTAGAGTTTATTGTACATCAAATAACTATTAAGATTCAATTTTCATGGACACGCAACCGACGGACAGACAAACGGACGGACAGATAGGCTTCAGAAAATGAATCTTATATTAGGATTTTGCAGATCATTCCGGGCGACCAGAAAAGCTCGTAACTATGTTTATATGGACTAAGTTTTATGAAAACAAAGTTTCTAGAATAACGGTCACGAACATTGAAGTTAATCTCTTTACTAGGAATGAAACACTAACTAACAATGAAACACCCGGGATAAAGCTACGTTGCTGCAGCGAAAGTAATACTAAAAGAGGCAATTTCTATTTTCATAAGGCAGCAATGAGACTAACGGATCGCATTTCAAATTCCTAAGGGTGTGAATCAAGAATTGCTTTTGAAATAATTCTATTGAATCAACGTAACACCTAGCGGAAGAAGGCCACTGAAGCAGAGACCGAGGCATATTCTAGCATTGGTGTCACCAAGCCCACGCCAAACAAACCGTTTACATATACCAAGAAAGTATAATTTTATTATTTTGTGGTGAAAGTTGGTCAAAAGTTACTTGGACCAGCTTACTGTACGAAGTTTCAACTACATATGTTCTTTTCTTGGACCTCCTGCTCACATAAGGATTGTCTTCAAAAGTAAGGCACAGGTATAAATGATTCGGCTACAGTCATCTATAATATTTCAACTTGTTTTTCTTTAACATTAAATTCTTCAGAACTTTTGTGTTTGTGTTTTTATCGCACTTCTTAAAGAATCAGCAGAACTAGTGCAATTCTTTGAAGAATTGTTTCAATTCCCTACAGCTGTGTAAACAGTACCATGTTTTTGCTTGACGGATAAAATCGACTATGCCAATAGTAAACAAAAAACATGTGTTATTATAAAAGAAAAGGCGAAGAATAATTGGAAATTTATTGATAATATTAAAAAAAATATGGAAAGAGAACAATAAATTGGCAGAGAGAAGCCTTTAAAACAAGTAAAAACTCTATAGCGGTGTATGGCCTATCAGTAAATACAGTACATCACTTCGTTTGTTACAGTTATACATATACAGACGTTTCAAAAAAGGCGTGCCATGGGACGAGGTCGAAAAAGTGGTCCAATTCAGAAACATATCGTTGTATCAAAATTCATCAGAAAATTTTCTCATCTATTGCGATCTGTAGGTTGAACGCAAGAAAACAAGACGGACGGACGGAAAGACATGCTTAGAAGAGAAAGTTCTGAATCGAGCAGTATAGTAAAAGATGAGCTTATCGCAAGTCCTTGTGGATGTTGCATACATCCGCACAATGTTAATGTAGGCTTGTACCACAAACGGTGTAGGCTAGAAAAAAAACCAAGCAAGAAAATTATATTCGGTCGTGACCGAATTCTTTATCCCCTTTACTTATCATCGTTATCGCAACAAAGATAAAAAAAAGTAAAAGAACTAAATTTTTATGTTCTGTAATGTGGAATGGACGAACTGCCGCCTTTTTTTTTCTATTTTAAAATCAATTTCACCTATTTTTTTTTATGAGCAACAAGCCGACTTTTTAGCCTTCTTGCGAAACAGAGATGTTTTCAGATTAGGTGGTGCTATGAACGTTTCGTTCGAGCGATTTGATGCATTTTCAATACCAACCTGCGTTCAAGAGCTTCCAATGCTGCTGCCAAGTTTGAAGTCGCTAACTTCATTTTGCCAGGAGAATGTTTACAGCACACATTACGAACACGGACAGATGGAGAGGCGGCCATGCTCAAATTGATTAATTGGTGATTTGATGATCAAGAATATACACACTTTGTGGGTTCTGTGATGCTTCCTCCTGGGTGTTGCAAACGTTTTGACAAAGTTCATATATCACTCATCCTTAGGTGATGCGTACAGGAACTATGAACATTTACGTCAGTATTATATCTAGTAAAGTTAATTCTTATGAGCTTATATTTAATTTGCCTTTTTGAGAGGGAGATTTCTACGAAATATTGATTCCAAATTTCGGACCTTATCGACATTTTGCACACATATTTAATTAGGATGACAAACCACGGTTAAGATACAATATAACTTTTTCTTGTTTTACATCAACGCTGCTTTATGGATTCAAAATATGTTACGTACGTATTTCATAATATTGAAAACTGTTGTTAATATTTTACATTAAATTTTGCTTTCGATTTGAAGGCATAGCACAGAAAAATGTCAATTTCTCTTCATCAAAATCAATTAAATTTAGCAATTAAGACATTACGAATTATTCAGAACAGGAAATTTTACTCAAATGAACTCTTGATAAACTCATATTATTTTTCATACCAGAGTAAAACTTTAATCAAATTTCTGTGGGTTTGCCATGGCGTTGTGCAAGTGCGTTAGTTGTTCGTTTATTTTTTGTTGGCTAGAGTGATTAGTAAAAATTTTATTCATAAAATATTCTGTTAAGGAATTATGATCAACTTTTAGAAATATAATAAAAAGCGTCTTTTTATGTTTCTCAGCTTGCAGATTAAAGAAACATTTACGTTAACAATAAAGTTAAGTTGTACTTGTTTATAATTAATAACAACAAAAACCCTTTAAAGATTAATTTTATTAAAACACGAAGGCTTGAAAAGAAACTAAAACATATAAAGACACTATAATACTAACGCTTAAATATCGTATAATTCTTCGATTAATGCAGCTATTCGTATTAGGATTTTTCAAAAGAAGGCATTACGTGGGAAATAGTCGAAGCGCTCCGAATCCCAATCATTTTCAATATCGTTCGTTCTTGGACCAAAAGACTTCACTGTGCCAAATTTCATCAAAATATCTCGAAAATTCCACCGTGTAGGTCGAAAATAAAAAAACATGGCGGTTAAGGCCATAAATCAATCCAAAAATAATAAAAGTGGGGTCACTTGAAATCCTTCTGGATATTATATACGCCCGCACAAACTTAACATGTTCTTGTACCACAAATATTAAAATCGATATTAGTAACAAAAACAATAGTATTGTATACAAAAAAAAGAAGAAAAACTAAAATAATGTTCTCATACTTTGTTCTTTTCTGTTCTTCACGTTAAGCGAGATCGAAAGTCATTTTACAAGCGCTGCATAAGAATGTAATCTATAGCTTATCTTTCTTTTATTCCTTTTTTTTCCAGTTATTTCAAAAAGTTCAGTTTACTAATTTTTATCACAGATGAAGACTTGAAGAACAAAGTCAGCTTACCACTTCTCAAATTATAATAAGAAACCAATGACCGAAAAAAGATCTCACGTGTTTTCATCAAACCCTCAGTCGAAGCTGCAGAAAAAAATAGCGAATATAATCAAAACTTTATTTGCATCATAGGAGTTACAAGGAATGATAAGCATTGGGTTTCGCGGAGTATCACACTATATATGTATGATATGTAAGTAAATGCGAATTTTTTTATCTTTTAAAAAGCGTTATTTTGCCTCTAAAAAAACCAACAAAAAAAGTAAAAAACTACCGAACTAGCAATCACGGTGAAATTAGATTCTAAAAAAACAAGTGAGAGCATCGGGCAAAGCCGAATAATGCGCCTAACGCAAATATTCATCCGTTTTGACAATAAAACACCAAAATGTACATATTATTTCATGCAAAGACATACTTTTCACGAAAGCCCGCATTTTTAAGGAATTCCTGTATGCGGCTGTATCCGAAAAATATACTTACTTGCTCCAAATTCGGTAAGGTTGATTTCTCTGTTAATTTACTGAAATTAATTAACTTTCACCATAAAATATTGAAAATTAGACTTTTTACCATATAAAGATTAAGTTTTCGTAGAAACGATTATAGGAGAAAGGAGTTGAAAAGAAAAGTCCCCGGCCGAACTAAATATTTCATACCAAAACAGTACATCCAAATATTATTACAGGGCGACTTTTGTCGAGAAATTTTAAAAATTGAAGTGGTCGAAAATGTGGATCTATCCGAACCATTTCCAATAGCGTTCGTTCCTGGGCAATGCAGATGAAATTTGATCAAAATATCTTAAAAATTGCGACCTGTAGACTAGACATGGGCAGAGATCCGACCGACAGACGGGCTTATATAAAGGTATATTATTAGGTGGGTCTATCTTAAGAGCTTTTGTGTATAACATTCCTCCTCACAAACGTAGTAGATATAGGAAAAGGAAAGGTTTGCCTTTTTTATATAGAACATATATCCGTCTGTCACAATTAATATGAAATTGCAATGCGACTATTGCCCACGTTCGCTCCTGTCCGCAGCACTGTATATGTGAAATGTCATAACATAATGCATCTATTCGACTGTTAGTGTCCTATTCTACATCCACGTCGGGTTTAATCAAAAGCGCAGTGAATGACGTAAAAAAAAATTTGCTTGATAAAATTTTTCTATCTGTTGACAACGTCTGGTCTAGTGTAGTCACGTTTCATGTAAGTATAAAAAAATAGAAAATTAAATATTAGGTTTTGCTGTAGTGGATATATTCTATTTATTCTATTTATTTATTTATTCCACTTATACAAGGAACTCGACTAAAAACGTTGACAGTCGAGTTCAATTGACTCTTAAAGTAAATCGTAAATTAATTAATATTAAAATTTTCAATAAAACAAATAAGAAAGAAAAAAAGAAAAAAGCAGTTTAAGTACGACATAGGTAAATTACGCGCATTAAGCAATTTTTCTTTAATGGACTTTAAAGAGTCCGATAATGAGAATAAGTGATAGACGTCATTTAGGTTCTTGCAAATAACTCTGAGCATATTAAACAGCTCATAATTATATTTACATTGACTAAGCGTAATCAAGGTGAAGTGCCTAGAGAAGCGGTTAGGGACATTAAAGCTTATTTCACCAAGTAATGCAGGCGAGTCAATAGCACCATTTACTACTTTAATTACGAAGAAAACGCCAAGAACAAATCTACGTTTCTCAAGAGACGGTGAGGACAACAGCCTATTTTCATAGGCTGCAAGCGGGGCAATCGGGTCCCAAACCAAATTCCTAAGGGCAAACAGTAAGAATTGCTTTTGAACAGATTTAGTTAAATCTACATAGCACCTATATGAAGGAGACCACAACTGAGGCATACTCGAGTATGGGTCTAACCAAACACATGTACAGCCTTTTCGTAATGTAGGGACCATCAAGCTCTTTGGACCACTTCTTTATAAAACCAAGCGCGGACCTAGCTTTGCTTATCGAAAGCTCAATATGAAAGTCAAATAGAACGCCTAAATCTGTAATCGAATCGACGTCCTCCAACTTATGCGAATCTATGAAATACTGAGTAATGAATGACTTTCTTCTTGAGAACAAAAGCTTCTTACATTTAGTCAGATTTAGTTTCAGAAGATTCACAGAGCACCATGCAATAAAATTATCCAAGTCACCTTGAAGCTGATGTGATTGCGATTCAACAGAGAAGGAAGAAAACAGTTTCACATCATCAGCATACATTAAGATTTGGCTGGAATTAATCACCGATGGGAGATCATTAATGTATAAACTGAATAAAATGCGACCTAAGTGACTTCCTTGAGGTACGCCAGATATAACGGGGAATTCATCCGACGTGATGAAGTTAAACAGAAGGATCTATTGTGCAGATAAGAGCTTATCCATTTCACTAAATAGAAATGGGAAGCCAGAGGCTTGGAGTTTAAAGATAAGTAAGTTATGGTTAATCAAATCAAACGCTTTATCAGTGTAAATAACATCTGTGCGAGAGCCGCTAAAAAAAGCCTTAAAAACATGACAAGTAAACTCTAGCAAATTGGTGACCGTAGATCGCCTTTTCCGAAAGCCATGCTGGTGTGGAGAAATATACGAATTAATGGCAAATGCCAAATGCTGAGTCCCAATTAGCTCGAACAACTTAGGCAAGACACTCTACTTGGCTATGCCTCTGTATTTCTCAACAAATTGTCTACTTCCACTTTTGTGGATAGGAATAAGGAAACTACTCTTCCAACATGAAGGGAAAACACCTAAATTCAAGGACAGGTTAAATTCTTTGAGATCACACCACATAACTCGACAGCGCAAGATTTAAGTACACATGATGGAATTTCATCAGGTCCAGACCCACAATTTTATTTTAGAGAGCTCAAGTCTTTAAAAACATCATCTTCAGCAATGACCACATTAGGAATTGAAACCAAGTTAGTTATAGGATATGGGTAGTTTGCGGATAAATTGGAATTAGCAGTCGAAAAGTTTCGAGGGAAGCACTCAGCGAACAGATTTGAGATTTGAAAATCATCCGAGGAATCAGATCCATTAAAAGAAACATGCGAGGGATATGTGGAAATTTTTCTTTTAGAGTTAACAAATTTAAAGAAGAATTTAGGATTAGCAAACAGAGAGGATTTAATGAACTGAAGGTATCTGCAGTAAGTATGATGGTTGAGGGAGTTAAATCTATGCCTTGCCACGGCGTAAGCGAAATAGTCAAGAGCAGAGCCGTTTTTCGAATATTTTTTGAAAAGCGTGTTTTTTCTATTCTTGTGATATTTAGTTGTCTTATTAAACCACGGGGGACACCTGCTTCGAGGTCGACAATGCTTGATCGGAACAGATGCAGCAATAGCTAGATTTAATGTATTGTAGAACGATGACAATAAGCTTTCAATACTTCCGGTTGAGAAATCAGGCCTCATATGTGAGAGACGATGTTTTAGCAATACAATATTAATTTTATGAAAATCATAACATTTAGTTAAAAAAGTTTGATTTGACACATTAAGGCAGTTCAACGAATCATCATTCTTATGATGAAACGAAATGCACATTGATGGACGATCAGGATCCTTAGCTAAACTAAAAGGTGGACAACGATGTACACTAATCTCAGGGAAATTGGCACAGCAGAGATCAAGCAGTCTACCATTACAATTAGGGATACTGAATATTGAACTAAATTATGATCAAACAATTCATTAAAGAACATAACATCCCTATTAGATGTTGAAGTAGGAATCAAACAGCCAGAATTATCAATGTTACACCAAGTGACTTGTGGCAAATTGCAGTCTTCCAACTATCAAATCGGTGGGTTTCGACTGCTTGGCCACTTCACAAATGAGGGTAGCCTGTTTCTTGTAAATGGAGATATCAGAATTTGGGGCAATATAGGAGCAGGCTATAAATAGTTGTTTATTAGGCATTTTCACTGGAATGGCGATAAATTCAACGTCAGGAGTGGTAGGAAATTCAATTGATTTGGACGGAAATGACGAAGATATGGCAATGAATACACCACCACCAATGCGATCCAATCGACCAAAGTGCATCTTTTGAAAAGCGTGTCACTGTTACAACGTCCGGTATATCATTCATTGAGAAGACATAAGAGTTAATTAGGTTTTCAAACTTGCCTTGTCACCACAGCGCAATTCGTAGCAATACTTATGACAACAGCGATAATTGTTGAGCATTAATTTATAAATCAAAAAAAATGAAAAACTTTATTACGAGGTGCGGAGCTAAACAAAGGGTTATTAAATACGGGCCGTAGAGTTTTTCGAAATAAATTGATTGGAACCGCGATTTGTTTTTTAGGCCTCCACATCCTGGACTACACATAGTCTCACAGTGACCGAGAAACCGGTTTTTATTCAATCTTATCTTCACCTAGGTTAATTAAATGTTGAAGTACATATCAAGTACGATTTCTGTATTGATATTCCCCTGGCGGCGGAAAGCGCGTAAAGGATGTGAACCTACTATCCACTACTATCTTTGGAACGTGACACTATTACGCAAGCACTATTAACTAGTGGTTATTTCATATAAGCAATATTACCTCGTTGTATGCTACCGACGTATTTTTTTTTTACAAAACTGGGACGAAAGAACGTCTAAAACTCTACCGTGATCGGGAAATGGGTATTTTTTTCCTTTAAGATAAAGGACGACGTTGTAAAACGCAAAAGCCGTATTTGCCTACATATCTATTGAGTTGATGATTCTAGAATTCTTAATGTGTCGATATCTTGATGTGTGAAGTTCACGAAACGCACGGAATTTATCGGACATAATACTTTTAAGATAAAAAAAAAACAAGCAAGAAAAATGTATTTGGCTTTAACTTTCATATGCGATATTCCATAATATTAAGAAGGCGTGGCGTGTTCGATTTTTTTTGCATTTTTATTAAGATTATCCATACAATATATTACGTATGAAAATCATCCTATTTGTTGTAATTCATATGCAACCAGCAAAAAGCCAATGTTTTTTGCTTTTGGGTTTATATTGTATTGTATTGTGTTGTGTGAATCAACTTCGATGCCAACATATCTGCGACCAGAAGTATGCTTACCTCAGGCAGGCGTAGTGATGGATAGAAGGAGAGACGGATCGACAGATATGACTACATTGGTTTATATTTTGATGCTGATTCAAAATACGTAAAAACGTTTTAGCAAAATGAATACACCCTCAGCGATAGGTGGTTGATAAATAACCAAAGTCTCTTATGCAAATGGCGTTTCGTCAAAAGTCTCTCAGCTTATCAATCTGAATTCTAATAATTTTTCTCAATTATTTTGATAATCTGGCAATATTTTATTGCCGTCAGGCAAGGCTTTTTCTCAATTGAAGGATGGGAACCTATTCATTTTATCAAAACGTTTACAATCTCCTAAAGGTAACTTTACAGCATATGTCTTCTTGATGAGCACCAAAGTTTAAACATTTATTTCTATCTGCCCGTTCGTATGATATCTGTGGTAAATATTCTCCGTAACCCAAAAAAGAAGAAAATGAGCCAAATGGAATACAACACAATTCGATAATATAACGGAAAATAAAAACACTACTGTTTTCAAAACTACGTTTAAGTTGAATGCTGTTTTGAATTCTTTGAAAAGCAAAAGTTTTACAAGATTTTCTAAATGTTTTTATTCAATGTGGCTGCTATAACCTTAAAATTATGCATGCACGCATGAACATATAATCAATTAATTTAATAATTACCTTTTTGTTAAGGTGGTAGCTAAGGTTCCGTTACGATAACAACATCTGACCGTATATTTTAATTTGTGTCTTTGTTTCATTAAAGTCAATTTCATCGAATCAGTTTGTTTGTTTTTTTTTAAGTAAAATTTCAGTCTCTCATTTTAATGCGCTCTTTGGTGTTTACTGATGTGCAATATTTGTTTATAGATTTACTCCTGTCTTATGTCTTATTACTTACATATACACATTGCATGTATACATACATATAACGTTAAGCACTGGTTTTGTCATAACGAATCGAATTATTAACACAAAATGATAATACACTGCTTACCTTTACCGATCGCCTACCAACTGTCGACAGGGTCCTGTTCTCACGCATTATGTTTTACTATTAAACAGTTAAAGTTATAACGGACACTGATGGCAGGTGGTATTAACACAGCCATTTACTTTATTCTTGTCAGGTTCACAATAGCACTAGAGATAGCGATAGTAGTAGTAGTAGTAGTGGTAGTTGGTCGATATTCTATTACTTATTATCCTAGATATCCACTGATAGGCATGTTTGTTGTGGTTTACTATTGCTGAAGATGTTGTTGCTATCGGTTTTAATGTACTTTTCGCCACTTTGTTTATTGGTTTTATCACTTTTGTCACTGCATTGCAGGTAAATAAACACAAATGTCACTTCAATAAATGGAACCATGTGAACGTTAATAGGAACGATGAAACACTTCTCAATCAATCAATACATACGCGTGTGGATTGCCCTGCATCATTTGCATGAAAGTCCATTCAGTTTAATTCTAGTTATTCTAGATGAATGAAACTCATAATATAACACTTTCGTATACATTTGATATAATTGAAACTGAAAGACTTAAAAAAAATTCTTTAAAGCACTTGCATATTAAATATCAAATAATTATTTTTTTATATCTGTCAAGCTTCTTCTTCCTTAGTAACTGCTCATACTTTTTGCTTCCTAGTAGTATCAAAGGATGCTTTGAAGATGTATAGTCATGTTTAACATAACACAGAAAACCGCAAATTCTTTGAAAACGCATTGGTAAGACTTAAGTTGCATTTGCAGTGCGAAGCCGAAAGTATTTCTCCACTAAATTAAAGCAATTCTTAAATTAGCTGCTAGCTTAAAGAAGACGTGAGAACGTGGTAATTACATTAGGAACTGCGGACACCCACACATAGAAGCTAATAATGCATGTATTAATAAGTAAAAAATAACCTTTTTTTTACAAAGTTCGTCTTCATTCATTAAAGTAGTCTCCTTCAAGAGTGATGCAATCAGCCTACAGTTTTTATAACATATCGTTCGTTTTCTTTTTACAGAATATTTTCATTCAAGGCTTTCAAAATACGCCTCAATGTCTACAGTGATTTCAATATTTGATCAAAATCTTTCTTCCTGGAGCATTCTTCTGAGATAATTGTCGCAGGTAGTCACTAGTAAATATACTAAAAATGTGACGAACGGAATAGCAAAACGAAAATCAATTAATACAATTTTGCCATTATGGCACGCGATCTTGTGGCGCGATTCATTTACTGCAACGGTGAGTAAAAAAGCTATGCACTTGGAAAACATCTTTTTCATGCTCACATTTTTATGAAGAACTTTGAATAGAGTGCCTAGTGAGCAGTGAAGTTTTACAATCCTACTTTCCTTTTACCAATAATGATTTGCAAGCTGTCGTAATCGTTTTGAGCTTTCAATCACCATTTCCGCATCATCGGTATCAAATCGTCTCCTTTAAAATGAGCAAACCTTCCACAATTTGCAGTTTACGACGAAGAACACTAACTTACGCTAAGTTTGGAGAACTTTTTTTATCATCAAAAATAATCACGTCAAAACCAAAAAAATCAATGGGATGTTGTTGTTTATTGTTAATCGGGAATAACGACACAACGAACAACAAGGCAACCCCGATTTTTCACTTAATAATGCTTAGCTTTACATTCTACTCATTTCTATTCACTTCTATCCACAAACTCCTGTTTCATTCTCCACATATTTTTTGCAAGGTTGCAATTAAACTTGAAATTAAAATTATTATTAATCACTTCACGTGAATTGCATATTTTTTCAACATTTGCAAAATAAGAAAAGCAGAGTCCTTTAAATCAGTTGTTACTTACATGAAACAATTAGTGAAATGATATAAAATTTCGTAAAGGATGGTTTGAAGTGAACTTTTAAAATCTAACTGTCAATACCGAGAATCATTAAACGATACTTCACCAACGTATGATACGTAGGATAGCTTTTTATTAAGCAAGATCACATTAGGAGTACTGGCCAATTTTGGATTAATATATGCGGAGGTCAAACAAATGAGAATGAGAGAGAGAGAGAGAGAGAGAGAGAGAAGGAGACTTCAGCTGATTGTAGAGAATCATAAAATGCACGTGCAGTTCTCATTAATAAGAATGCAATAAGTGTATTACTTTATTTACAAACACATGCATTCAAATCCTACGCATATAGTTTGTATTCTTATGTTCATAAATTTATTTTTTTTAATTATTTGACTAGCCTAACCCGGTTTTTCTTTTCATTTCTTTTAGGGTGGCAGTTGCTTTTAAGCTTTTGTTTCGGTGGGCGTTTCCAACTATGAGATAAAAGTAAAGTTCACTACCTTTTTTCAGCAAAATTCAAACTTATTCTTAGAATTTAATTACCTCTGTTACATAAAGACGAACCATTTTAATCAAATCTTTTGTTAGTTTTTTCAAAGGTAATCATCACATTCTTTTTCGTACTTAGTTGTCATATGCGACCAACTTTTCATAGCTTGTTACCAATAGAATTTCGTAATGCTTCATCATAGATTCATACTAAAAAGTCGATTCTTTAAATATTTCACAGTTAATCCGTTCGATATCCAAGTATAAGATTTCCTTTGTGTCCAATCTTATGAAAATTTTTTTTTCTCAATTTTTTTGCCGTATCTCGAAATTTTCAAAGTGGTGGAAACCAACGAACCATTTGCTCGCTGGGGTCTTTCATGAAACTTCTCTATCATAAACGCACAAATTTTCCACAAATCTGAGAAGCGTTAACGTAGTGCTCGAAGTGATAATGAATTTTAATTGAATGATTTTGATTGCTATTGCTTTGTCCACTATTTCGATGATCACACAATATTAAGAGTAAGAACATTATTGTCGGGCAACGATGACCATTACATACCCTACAACACTTCGCCTAGCACAGTTATTCACTGCTTTTGATAATAAAACACCAAAAAGTACAAATTATTTTCATACAATGCCACAATTTTTATTTTTATGATAGCCCGCATATTGAAAGATTAAAATTTCTGTGATTTTCGTGGTAGCGCTTATACCTGTTGGAATCCAAAAAACTAAAACTATGTGATCCAAATTCCTTATCGTTAACTTTTGGCTCAGTCACTATTATGAGTTACTTTTCATAATAGAATATTAAAAATCAAGCCTTTCTCAGAAGCGCTTACCACTCATGAGATATCTGATATCCAAACCCAAGTGGCTTCATTTAGTTAGTTTTTATATTAAATTACTATCGTGAAGCAAGTTTAATTGCAAAAAATTAACAATTAGGACTTTTTGAAATATAAGTGTTTCCGTTTCATGAGAATCCTCCTACGTGGTGGCATCCAAAAAATAGACTTACATAGTCCAAATTCATAGTAAGGCTGATTTCTTTGCTAATTTACTATTATGAGCCAATTTGCACAATCAAATATTTTAAATTAGTGTTTCTTGCCTCATAAAGATTCTATTTTCGTAGCATCGGTGTTATGAGAGAAAAAATTTGCCCCACCGGTATAAGGTTTTCGCAACAATTTAGAATGCCGCAATACTTTGCCATTTTTGTCGAGATGTTTAATATGTCTTAAAGGACGCTGAAATCTATTAGAAAAACCTAATTTAACTACTATGTTCAGGATTTATCTCCGCCAAAAAAGTTTGAATCGAATGCGCGAAATTTGAAGCGTCACTTCACACACACATCGCACACATCGCATATATTCATGATAAGCGTCAAATTTCGAATCCATTTAAGCATACCCCGTCTCATCGTCTGTATAATTCCTATTGCAAACATTCTCCTGATGGCAGCAGCAAAGCTACCGGTTTCAAATTTAGCAACAGGAGTTAGTACTGACAATGGGGCAAGTCGATCTAAGGATACGTCGACAGTCAGACAGCATAAACTGAGAATACCTGTACTAGGACTAATTACTCAACAACTACAATAGGCACGCGATAAAAATTTTCACAAAAACTAAAAGAGTAGCAATAAAAAGAAAAAGTAACCATTCGAAAGCAATTATGCTGATAAGTATGTTTGACACTAAACCTGCCATGCGAGGTCAAATGACCGTACTTAAAATTTCGTTTAAAATTTCTCGCATAAAACGTTATTGTATCATCATGTGTCTTATTGACTTTTCCTAAAATATACATGCAACTTATTTTTCAATATTAACAAGTTTTTTCAATGTGTATTTTCCGAAAACAAATTACATCATGTCTAGTCTACCATGAGTGGTCATTTGACCGCTTGAAAAATTTATGTTATTTACGACTATATTCTTCGATAATCGCGTTCTTAAAATTGTTTTACGAGTCTGCAATGTAATTGTAGACAATCTACAATCTAATCGATGTGTCCCACATTCGTGGAATATCAATTTATTAGACAAAATAAATAATATCGACGAGGATTGTTCGGAAGATGATCAAGAAGTTTACCATATTGATGATAATACTGCAGAAAATTATTGTGACTTATTTGACAGCGATACGGGCGAAGAGAATATTTTGAATATACGAAGAGAACAAAAAAAAAAGAGATTTATAGTTAGTTCCGAAAGTGAAAACGAGGAAGAGATTGAAACTGCTATGGACGGAACTGTTTGGAAAAAAATAAAAGAAGGGTCTAACAATGGAAGAACATCGATTTATAATATTTTCAAGGAAATATTAGGACCGACAGAATACACTAAACGAAATATTGTGAATGGCAGAGCATTTTCAGCATTTTCTTTGATTACCGATCATAAAATGATTGAACATCGAGTGTTGAAAACGAAATGGAATTTATCTATTACAAAATGATATGCATTTATTGGACTTCTATAAGCACGCGGCGCATATGAGACTAAAAATATTAATTTGTCATATTTATGGAACAAGAAATGAGGTCCGTCGTTTTTCTCGACAACTATGAGTCGAAATGGCTTCGCAGAAATCATGAGATTTATTCGATTTGACAACAAAAATCAACGAAGCCGACGCTTACAAAACGATAAGTTCGCATTAATTTCTGAAGTTTGGTATAAATTTATCAAAAACAGTCAAAACTGTTATACACCAGGAGCATATCTTGCTATATATGAACAATTGTTTCCTACAAAAGCACTTTGTAGATTTATTCGATACAAGCCCAACAAACCGGACAAATTTGGCATAAAATTCGGGTTAGCTTCCGATGTAAATAGTAAATATATAGTAAACGGCTTTCCATATTTGGGAAAAGATGAAGGAAGAGAATCATCAATCCCACTTGGAGAGTTTGTAACTTTGAAATTGGCAGAACCATATACGGTCCATGGGAGAAATATAACAGTTGACAATTTTTTTACAAGCGCGTCACTAGCGAGTAAACTTCTAGCAAAAAGAACTACGCTTGTTGGAACTATCCGGAGAAATAAAAGAGAGCTATCAAAATTAGCGAGACAGGCAAAGGATAGTATGACACACTTCTCAACAATATTACACAAATCGAAAGATTTTATTCTTACAATTTATAAGCTAAACCCAATAAAATAGTATTGATACTTAAATCAATGCATCCATCCGTTGAAATTGAAAAAATTGACACCCGCATACCAGAGACAATTAGAGTTTATAATAGTACAAAATTCGGTGTAGATGTAATCGACCAAATGGCCAGAAAATATAGTGGGATAAACTCTTGGATTTTATATAAAGAAACGACGGGTGAGGATATATCGAGGCAAGAGTTTTTGTTTCAGTTGGCAGAAGAACTTGGGACCGAATATCAGAAAGGGAAACAGATAAGCCAAGAATGCTCATCAAAAACAATAATAAATACAAATACTGTTTCTTCCGAACGGAGATCTTGTCAAATAAGATATTGTAAAGTCAACAAAACAAACAAAATTTGTATAAAACGTAAAAAATACATATGTGGAAAATGTGCAACACAAAATGCTGTAATTTGTAAAAAATGTGATGAAAATGCATAAAAGTAAATAAAACATATAACATCGAAAAGCGGGGGTCGAGTTTTTATTGTAGCATCAGAAAAATATTTTGTTTACTATCTACTTTACATATGTTTTTTTGATGCGGTCATTTGACCGCACATGGTAGAAATAGGTATACATGAAATGTCGGTAGGTTTAGTGTTAAAAATAGTTTGGATTTTTTTTTTTTTGGAAGAATTTATGTATATTACACGGATATAAAAAATTCGGTCACAATTCAGACCATCATGTTTAACTCGCGCGATGGTATACCTTCTGCGGCCTGGTATTGGCCGTTACGCGACCATAAAGCCATGCGCTGTGAGGAATAATACAAAGCATTTTCTTTCGTCTAGTGACTGTCGATTAAAGTAGTATTAGTAAATGAATCGCTTTTCGTTGGACAAAATTTCATTTCGAGGATTAAGCCCATTAAGTACAAGTCACTGTGTTTCTTGTATAATTGCATTGTGGTGTACACGCAATATAATATGTTTGCATCCGATTAAGCAGAACTTGCTACAATAAACAAAATATTTTAATAAACAAATTTTCACTTAGAGACTGTTTGCTTCTATTTGTGTGTGTAACAGTAGGAAGTGCCCTTCGGCGCCCTTCAGCATAACGTATGCATTCAAATTTTACTTTCTTTCTTTTTGGTAGAAAAAATAGCTTGGGATCCCGATCTTAAGAAAGCCAAGGCTTCCGTGCAACAGTTTATTACTGAAGAACGCTATTCTGACATGTAACACATTACACCATAGATATTTCTTGTCTCAATAAAAATTTATGGGAGAATACAAAAATACAAATCAGTACTGCTGTATTGCATTTTGCAGACCTAAGGATGGACACAGTAAACAAATCATAACAATGTCAAGTGTCAAGTTTTCCTGCCGAAAGACTTTTGAAGACGTCATTTACAAGATAACCTCAGCAAAGTTTTGTGTGGTTAATTACACACACACATAAACAAACACACCGACAGTTAATTAAGTTGAATGATTTTTAGCAGTTAATTGCTTCGGCTGCGAAAGTACCTCATTAATGCGGTTTTTGTACGCATTTTCAAAATTTAAAAAGCCAACTATCCTATTGTGTCATCCCTTCAGATACGTTTGTTTATAATAAGTTACAGACTGTCTCCAATATACTAACCTTTCTAAATCATTCAAAACTCTTAAACCATATCTTATTTCCCTTGAAATTGTATATCGAGCAGTCATACGTATGTACTTACGTTTAAAAGGCCAGCAGCTATAGGATTCTCTTTTGATTTATAACGTTGTATAAAGTCATAAGTTAATAACAAGTATGAAAGTTATATTCGGCTGGGGCCAAACCTCGCATATCCACCACCACTGAAATCTTTGGAGCTCCATGCTTTTATTTGTTGTCGTAAAAAAGTGAATGGGATAAAATTTATCTTTTAAGTTTTACTTCATTAAAAGTTATTGCCTCCTTGTCATGACGCCCACGAAATTAAAATTAAAATTAACAGACTTACTTTGTCGCCTTCTACTCGCCAAGTAATTTCTTTTGATATATATATCGACGGTATTGTCATGAAAAAAATTATCCATGGCTCCATCGTATCGTAGTACCCACCATATTTTGCTTAGAATTGACGCATTTTTGGAAAGATAACATATCTTCATTTGAGAAATGAACAATTCAAAAAAATAAATAAAATAAGCATTCAAGAAAACAAAAAAAACAAATTTTAATCACATATAATTTTGCGTGAGCATGACCAATTTATTCCATTTTTGCACATAAATAGTAAAGTTTTTCCTAAAGCAAATGTAGAAATTTTCAGACTGTTAGCTTTCATAATCTGTGAATAATTACCGAAAACCCATAAATCCACCACGTCGTAGTGTCCACCATGTTTATTGTAGAATTCACGCAGCTTTTAGGCAGATAATATATCTTCATTTGAGAAGTGTACAGAATAATTTTAAAGGTTATATCTTGTTTACCTTAT